TACGGAAAACAGATTCTGGAGAAAAGAATACATTCTTTAGAAAATATTGCTCAATCATGCAAATTAGATTCCAAATTTCTAGAAATCGAAGTGTTTGGTTTAATAAGTATCTTTAGAAAATATTGCTCAATCATGCTGCTTAGATTCCAAATTTCTGGAAATCGAAGTGTTTGGTTTAATAAGTATCTTTAGAAAATATTGCTCAATCATGCAGCTTAGATTCCAAATTTCTGGAAATCGAAGTGTTTGGTTTAAGTAAAAAGCAACTAGAGAATAAGGTTCTTACTGTCCTTTTCACATTGGCATTGGTTTCTGTTCTGCTTTCTGGTTTTTCATAACTCACTACCTGGCTCCTGGTGTAATAAAATCCCTTTCTTTATTCAAGTCCCACTCAACATGCCATGCTCCAAAGGGAAGATGATGGTATTTATTTACAGAATGGAAAATGTCCTTGCTTAAGATCTGTTCAATCTTCCTATGTTGACATGATCTACACATAGCATAAAAATGAGGTAATTGATAGTATGGTGCTATGTTTTGCAGTTTGAAGTGTATCAAACTGCAAAATAAGAACTATTGAATGTTGGTAGAACCCCAATATCAAGGGCCTGCCTCTTTTATGATGATTTAAGTTGTACAGTTCGGTTTGGCTACATTGGACTACACAACACTTTTTTGGTGAATATGCAGTATTAGTTATATGATTCAAGGCAAAATTGCTACAGAAGAAATGTGATAGTTTTATGCTATTCTTTAATATCTTAGCAGCTTATTCACTGATAGCAAAAGTCTATAACTATCTGTAATCTCCTCAGGCAACATTGGTTGGGGTGTTTTTATGCTAAAACTGACCTGAAAGAAACACATGGGAACAGCAGAATCCAAGTACACTTTTAACTAAAAGCATTACAAAGCCTATCTTTTCTGAAAAACAAAGAAACTTAGCATCATTAAGCTTATCTGAATCCACAAGATTCTGCTAGTAGTGTCCTTAATGATGAGCTAACTCAGAGGCAAGTTGTCTGAATAAAAAATATAACAGAATCAAACTATGTGTGGCATAACTATAGGTAGCTACTCCTCTCATATCGTGTCATGCCACAGACTCTGCCTTAATTATAATTTTTCCTTTTTACATTTTTATGAATTTAATTATAATTTTTAGTTAATTAGTTTATTAATAAATAAGAAATATACATTCATGGAAATACTAACAACTCAAAAAGCTTGTTATTAAAACAATTTTAATCCAAAAGAAGAAAATATATGTGTGTGGAATCAAATATACAGACTATATTAGTGACAGAAAAAGATTCAATAGTTATGTTTCAAAATAACCAATAGGACTGCTAATACAGCACCAATGGGAAAGTGGAACATGGATGAAGATTGAAGATGGGTTAGATATGTTACTCCATAATTAACTTATTATCCTATAGCAGTTTTGAAAAGAATTCAGAAAAGCAGGTAAAGAGAGAGTGCAGGAAGACAATTAGTAGTAACTTGCTTCCAGAAGCAAGCAGATTATATTGTCTTATTGGTCATAGTAACTAGTGCATTAGTTGCACATAAAAGGTAGAAATTGAAATACAGTACAGAGATGGAAGACAGTCCTTCTCTTTTTTATGTAAGCTGGATGCAGCAATATGATTTGAGGAAGCTTTGATGTCTCATGAAAAATCATTTTTGTACTTCTCACGCACCCTCCTAATGTAGTCGGAAAACGTTTCATCACTTTCATGCATCATATGGAGAATTGAGATTGAACCTCCATTCTCACCTCCTGCAGGCTGCATTAATATGGGCTTTGAACTGCTCTGCAGCTTTTCTGACCTCTGGCTCCTAGCAGATTGACGCAGCGGTGGTTTCTCTGAAGCAGAATCTAGTGCAGCTGCAGGATTTTCGGTCCCAGTTGGAGGTCCAGATGGTCCAAGAGACATCTTGGCAATGGAGAAAGATGACAGCTTAATGATGCCCGCAGCCATCTTCAATGATTCTTCATACAGGGACTTGTTATCCCTGTCGTTATTCATCCTATCCGCTACAAAGCTTTTCACTGTAACTACTTGCCAAAACAATTAGATGACTGTATATCAATAGATGAACCCTGCGTGTGTGTATATATATATATACACACACACAAAGAGTATGCAATCCAGTGCAGTCCAGACTACACAATATAAACTATTAGATAATGGTAGATTTCTTAATATTGAAGGCTGCCCCATCATCTAAATGGATTCTGTTTTGCAGTCTGGGATTTTGTTTTGTAGTTCAGACTGCAAAACAGGATCCTCATATATATATAGAGGATGGTGTAGAATAGATCATCCTTTTAAAATTTTTTTGGAGAATTTGTTTAAGAGCTTATATTTTAATCAATATCTTAAAAAACCAACAGTTTGATTGATAATTTTATTTAAAATCATGTATGTTAATTTTTATATTAATTTAACATTTATAATCATTTGATAAAATAAACTCTATTTACTAATATATAATTAATAGTATTAAATTTTTAATAATCAATAAAAAAATTAGCTATATTAGAATAATTTAAAAAATAACATACATAATTTATATAAATAAAACTTTTGATTCAACTATTAGTTTTTAAAAATATAATTAAAAATTGAGTTTTTAAAAAAGTCTTTTAAAAAGAGATTTAAGAAAACAACATACAAAATACTTTTTTGATATAAATAAGTAAAATACAGGGTACTTTCCATTGAAGCTGCTTGAGAGAATATATCTGCCAACCCATTATGTGGCTTCTTTCCTCCTTCTTCTTCTTTCTTCTTCTTTTTTTTTTTTTTTTTTTTCTTATAACACAAATTTTTTAGTATTCGGTAATCACATTAAATTTTGATTAATTTGAAATTAAGTTGCGTTGATTTTCATTTGGGAGAAACTTTCTAAATACTTATTTTTTCATTTACAAAATTTAAACTCAAGATTTTATTTTTAAAAAATCAAATTTCATTCACTTGAATTAATAGATTGCTAATCCCATTACGTGGGTTGTTATTTCTTTAGAAATCTATATTACAGCTAAACCAAGACCAACTTTCTCTAGTAGTTGGATCATGTTCTCATCACAAGATTGAAATCCCATCCTTCTCACAAACTGAACTGTGACAGGTGAAACTGATAAGAATATGACTTCTCTACCTCAATTAGGGTCACAATCATAGCACCAGATGCTTGTAGATTTCTTACATACGAACTTTACTTAGGATTCTCAAGAAAATTATTATAGTATCATTATTAACATAGTTCACACACACAAAAGAAAA